GTACACTTGGACTCAGCACCCCTGACGAGAGGGAACCCCCTCCAGGCTGCTCCTAGCAGACAGTTGCTTAACAATATTGGCTAAGACTGAAGCACGCAAGCCCATCTCCCTCAGCCTCAAGTCACATCAAGCAAACCCCAAACACTTTAAGCTCCTTCCTTGGACATCTACCATCACTTCCTCTGACCCTCAGGACAACCAGTGAAGGTCATGGGATCCTCACTGGAGATGAGGAGAGGGTCGGGCACCAAGTCGGTGGTTCCTATCTGACGCCGGGTGTGGGACTCTGCTGAAGGGGAGAGTGTGTGGTAGCTCGTGGGTGTGTGGGGGTTGGTTCTCTCATCAAAAGTGTCTCCAAAAATATAAATAAGCAGCATAAAAATTTGTGAAAAAAAAAGTGTGAAATGGGGCTGGTGAGCTGGCTCCCTATGGGGCAGAAACACTTGTGGTACAAGTCTGCTTTACCTGAATGCGATCCCCAGGGCCTATGGTTGAGAGACCCAACTCCCAAAAGATTTCCTCTATCACAGGTACATGATGACATGTATATGCCTTCACATACACACACACACACATATACACACACACGTAATAATAATAATAAATTAGTTGTTTAAAGTATGAAATGATCAAAATACATTGCAAGCATGTACTAAATTCTCAGAAAATTAATACAAATGTTATATTAAATATGTGTGAAATGCGTCCACTTCAGTCCCCACTAGAAAACACCGTCCTAAAAGGCAGTCACCCTGCCGCTGAAATTTTTGCCAAGTTTGAGATCACCTGTGCTTATTGATTACTCTAACTAAAAAAAAAGTATTTCAGGGTTTAAAAAACATTAGCTATAAAAATTTGACCCCACACAGCAGCATCGGTGAAATTATAGGTTCATATGATGTTTGCAAGTTTTTCCAAATGCCAATCAAGGAAAATAGATAATTAATCTTTCTTCTATTTACGTCATGCCATAGACTTTTAATTTTAGAATCAGCTTGGGCTAACATAAATGCATAACACTTGGAGGAAAATTCATTAACTCAGATTAATGGGATCATATCACACTGTATTTTTTTAACTCAGTGAAATGTTTAAAAATCCTTTTATTTTCAAGAAAGACAAGGTCAGACGATTTGTGAAAGCTTATCAGAAAGGAAAATTGAGGACCAGCAAGGTGGCTCAGTGAGTAAAGGCACTCACGAGCAAGCCACACTTGACGACCTGAGTCCAATCCCCAGGAGCCACAGGTAGAAGAGAACCTCTGACCTTCACATATGTACGCCATTGTATGTGTACACGCCAACACATACAAAATAAACACAGTAACATTTTTTAAAGGGAAGAAAAATGTTACCTGGGGGACTCCGCTATGGGGGAAACCATCTCAGACTATGAACAGTTTGCCGTGTGCCTGCATCCTGCGCCGTAACAGGCGTCCAGCATCCCTGATTTCCGAGGGCAGTATTCACACCAAACATCACACTGGTGGCTCCTCACTCAGCTCTGAACCCTAAATCCTAGGAGCCTTCTAAAAACTGCTGCAGTCAAGACTGGCAAGAATGGAGCAGCCAAGGTGGGTGGTGGCGGCGCACGCCTTTAATCCCAGCACTCGGGAGGTAGAGGCAGGCGGATCTCCAAGCTTGAGGCCAGCTTGGTCTACAGAACAAGTTCCAGAACAGCTCGGGATACAGAGAAACCCTGTCTCAGAAAAATAAATAGAAAAGAATGGTGCCGTCTTCTCTTCCCTCTAGAGCCCTCAGCCCCCATGGAACAGAAGCCTGGTTGCCCAAGGAGGGTGACCGTCTGGGAGCTCCATTCAGTATCTGACAGGTACTTACTTATTAAGGAATGGAGCCAATAGTACCTCAGCTGGGAAGAGGAAGGACCATCTACTTGGTTTTTTTCCAGCCTCCCTCCTCCCTACATCCTGCTCCAAGATGAGCCAGCTTCTCTAGAGCCTGGCAGCTGCATCTGAAAGATCCCAGATGCTCTAAGGAAAGTGACCCACTCCTTGAGAGTGTTTGGCCTAACATTCTTCTGCCAGAGTACTAGACACACGACATATGTTACAAGACTCCCTCAACCATGCAGCTGGAGTCCCACTGACCACTTCCTGGGATCTAGGTCTGCCACCAACTGGCTGTGCAACTTTGGACAACTCATACCACCTCTCTCAGTTTGTGCTGAGCTCTTGAAAAAGGAGTTTGCTAGACTCTTTAGGTTCCGAAATTCTCCAGTTTTTACCCACGCCAGCGAAAGCAGAGAGACTCGCCCTTTGCCGCATCTGTCCCCAGGTTGGCTAGCCTGGAGGAGTTCAAGGGACAGAGTATTCAGAGGCCTGTGTTGTCATCACCATCTGTCACAGCCACCAGCCTCACTGGGGGTGTCGGGTTACAAGCGATCACTGGCTGGGTGGCAGCCCTGACTCTGATATTTTTAGAGTCCTCCTGGGCCTGGCCCTAACAAGAGTCAGATGTGTTCAATCCCTGACTGCCAAAGGCCCGTCTACATCCTACCTAACTCATGCTCCTGGGGCAGCACCTGCAGGGAGCAAGGCAGCACCTCATCAGTGATGGAGTGAGGAGGGGGTACCTCTTCTTCCCACCCTCTCACAGGTACCCCGCCCCTTTCCAGACACAGACTCCTGTTCTTTCTAGTACACAGGAGCAAACATTCCTGCACAGCCTCTCTCTGCCGACCTTTGAGAGGTTTGCTCCCCAGTCCCAGAACGGGGACCCAAACCCACCTTTGGGTCTCGATGCCCAGGTCCATTTGAGTCACCCCTGGCTTAAGCACCTGCCCCACTTCAGCCTTTGAAACTTGCGTCAGAGACCCCACCTGATGACAGACATGGCACCAGCCACATATTTCAACAAGTACATATCAATTAGCTGTCCCCCAGGAGGTGGCTGCACTCCACGCTCCGGTCAGCCTCAATTTCAAGCCTGCAAAGGTTTTTATATAGTTCTGTCTTGACAGACTTTCTTCCCTGTATGTAGTGTCCCTTGGAGTTAGCTCATGGTGACAAAGAACTGCCTTCCGTTGCTCCTCAGGGATGAGCAGGGAGGCTCCGGGAAGAGGAGAGGGAACCAGGGGCAGCAGAGTGTCAGTTTGTTCCTGCGCATAAGCAAAACACTGGCAAACGGGCCCTCCCTGCACTTAAGATAAGACAAAGGGAGAGAAAGAAATCTAGATGCCATTACCTGTAAGGAGGGTGTGTGCGCGTGCGCACATGTGTGTCTGGGGGCTGCTAAATAGATATGCTGTGTATTTACAATTAAATCCTCCCTTGGGGCAGTGTCGGCTTGAGAGGGGGCCTCCCCTGTAGGTGGGGCAGCACCACCCAAGCTAACGTCTTCTTAGAACTGTTTTGCCCAGCCTTGCCCTCCTCTCTCCCTCCCTCCTGGCTCCTTCTCCAGCTTCCCACACAGACACCCTTGCCCAGATTGCAGGCCAGCCTCAGCTTCTGCATTTGAGGGACAGAGAAGGCTCTGGGCTGTGTGTGACGGGCTCTTTCTGCCTCCCAGCCTGCCTCCTCAGTTCCTGTGGGGGTGGTGGTGGTAAGGATCCAAAATCCCTTGGAGGAAAAACAGGTTCGGCACCTTCTGGCCACCCCCTGTGCCTCCCTAGGCTGTGGGCTGGGCATCTATCTGCCCACGTACTTTGGAGGGGACCCACACCTCTTAAAGGTTCTCTCCCCATTTTCTGCAGCCCACTGAGGTATCTCCTGGTGGGAATGGAGGAGGACACAGAGAGACAAGAAGAAGTTCTGGCCCCACAATCTTGAATTCCTAACTCTACCAGGTCTCTGGGCCAGGTTTCTCCACCTTCAACAGGAGGGTACTCTGTGCTGGGGACAGGAAAAGGCTCTCTGGGAGGAGGAGGCACGTGGAGCCCATGGCACACCCCCGTGGTTTTTCCACATCCTCTTCCCTTGGATCTCCCCTGTAACCTGCACCTCTACCCTTATTTGAAAGAGACATTTCAGGGAGAGGTGGGCAGGTTTTGGGGACTTCTGTCTTTGATTCAGAAGGACCAAGCAGAGGTGGCTAGAGGTGTCTCTCATACCTTTTATTGTGATAAAATACACCTAGTTTTTATGATTTAAACCATTTGTAATTGTACAAGCCGATGGCCCGAAATGAACCAGCAATGTTGAGCAACCTATCTACACTCGAAACAGCCCATCGTTGTCAACCAAAACTGTACCTGTTAAATATTACCAAGTCCCACCCATTCCTATCCCCTGGCAACTACTGCTTCCCACCACTTTGTCTTTGAAGTTGCGGATTCAAGATGCCTCCTAAGAGTGTGGTTGTCCTAAATTGAGGCTAGAAGCTTCAGTCCTTCTCCAAGCCCGACATGTACATTCTGTGGGGAATAAGTGGGGGGGGGGGGGCATGCCTCCTTCCCTTTAAAGCACTCAGATCTGCCACAGTAGGTAAGAGTAAGCTGGGGCCTCGTCCTTGGCATTTCCCCCCACGCTGGGACACCGTTAAGAACCCAAGGAAGCTGCCCCTCGCCGCCGTGGGGCGCCACGGAACCCAGGTCCGGAGGAGCAAGCGGCCCACGGGGACCCATGGACCTCGCCTGGTCGCCGCAGATCCTGCCTGATTAGCCCTGCTTGGGGCTCAGATGCTGAGTACCACAGGCGAGAAGTGAGCTGGCTAATCTGGACTTTCAGAGCATTGGGCCAGAGGTGGCGGCCGGGGGCGGGGGGCTCCCTGACTCTTCCCCAAACTTTTCCCGCCCGTTTGGGCGCAAAAGGCGACGGATGCCACCCAGGGGTGGCACGGTGGCCTTGGGGACCAGAAAAGGGAGGCCTGCGCTCCAGGGGTCTGGAGAAAGAGCAGCGGGGCTGCCGCACAGACCGCACCCCGGCCCCTCCCTGTCACCCACGAGTCCCCGGGCCTGTCCCGGTGCCTGAAGAGGACGGACCGCGCCACTGTCATCCCGGAACCCCGACATCACTGCTGTCCCCTGGCGCGCCCCCAACTCACCGGACACGGGCGTCTGGACGCAGGGGCAGGCTGTGCGCGGGGTGAGGCGCCGGCTGTTTTGAAGCTCGGGCTGGGATGGCTCGGCCTCCTCCGCCCTCCGGGCCGACGAGCCTCCTCCCCGCCGCCCTCCCCGGAGCCCGCCTCCTGCCGTGATGTCAGGAGCCGCAGATCCAGGGGGCGGGACCCGGGCAGGCCGCCGGGGACCCCCCAGCTCCTGCCCGCTGGCCGCCCTGCGACACTTGCAAAGTTCAAGGGAGCTGAAGTCTCCCGCTGGAGACATCGCTCCCCTCCTCGTCTGTTTCCCGCCTTCTCCTGACTTAACAGGGACCCCAGATTCCCGCTTTCTTCCCAGCACCCTTCTCTTTCTCTTACTAACTAAGTGAGCTAGTTGTTAACATCTCCTGCCTCAGTTTCGTCTGATGAAAACGGAAGACATGGTGGGATCTTGTTCTGAGGCCTAAAAGCAATACTTACAGTGTCTGCCTCCTGGAGAGGCTGGGTAGCTGTAACTGAAAAATTAAGAGTTCCTCTCCTGAGGTAAGACCACCATCAGGACCAGTCTTAAGATTCTGCCAAGTTAGGCTGGAGAGATGGCTCAGGGAGATTAAGAGCACTGGCTGCTCTTCCAGAGGACCTAGGTTCAATTCCCAGTCACAAATGTCCCAGAGGTTCTGGCACCTTCACACAGACACACATGCAGACGAACCAATGCACACAAAATAAATAAATCATTAAAAAATATTACTCACGCCTATAAATCCCAGCTACTGAGAAGTCTGATGGAGAGGGTCCAAATTAAAGGCCCAGAATGAATTAAAGGCAACCCTTGATACTTAGTAAGACCCTGACTCAAAAATGAAAAATGTCAGATTCCATGGTTTCCCGCTTGCCTGACGTGTGGATTCCACCCCAATAGCCCCTCCTCCAATTCCTCCCTGCAATCTCCCCAAACTGATACACATACACACCCTCACACAAATCACTCCCAAAGTCCTTCCAACTCCTGGGGAAATGACCTCAAGACACCAAGCCCACCCTTTCCTTTGCCTCGCTTTTCTCATCTGAAAACAGCAGCGGGACAGACAGTCCAGAAGAAGGCTCTTAGGGGGCCCTGGAGGAGGCCAGGGCCTGAGAGCCGTCCTATGTGTTGAAGGGAATGTTTTAAAATTGAACACACTAAGACCCAGGGCCCAGCATATCACAGCATCGTTTTAGACTTCTAATTCCACAGGTCTGTGTTTCTTGTACAAACCAAAAATAAAAGGCACCTGCTTGTACCTCTAACTACCAACAGGAACTTACGCACAGTTGTGTGGTCTCAATTGGACACTGTATTCTTTCTCTCTTTTTCTTTTTCAGCACATTTTAAAGCTCTCTCTCTCTCTCTCTCTCTCTCTCTCTCTCTCTCTCTCTCTCTGTGTGTGTGTGTGTGTGTGTGTGTGTGTGTGTGTGTGTGTGTGTGTTTATACATGTGGAGTAAGAGAACGAACGACCTTGTAGGGTTGATTTTCTCCTTCTCCTTTATGTAGCTCCTAGGGCTCTTCAGGCTCGGTGGCAAGTGCCTGCCTCTACCTGCTGAGCCGTTTTCCTTGTTCACTTGTTTCTCCCTGTTTACAACATTTTTATTCTCTTTACTTATTTATTTATTCACTTGTGTGTGTGGATAGCACACATGGAAATTGGAAAGAACCGCACAGGTCCTGGGTGTGGAATTCGGGTCCTCACACTTAGTGGCAAGCGTCCTTAGCCTGTCGCTGTGATAGACACCAGGACCAAAGACAACTTAGAGAAGAAAGGGTTGACTTCAGCCGACACTTCAGGGACACAGAAGTTCAGCGAGGGAACCTGGGGGCAGGAACTGAGCAGAGACCATGGAGAAACCCTGCTTACTGGATTGCTCAACTGTTTTCTGTAGCCCAGGCCCAGCTGCCCAGGGATGGCCCCGCCCACAGTGGTGGTCAAGAAAATACAGCCCCAGCATGCCTGGAGACAATTCAGTTCTGTCTCTAGGCTCTCTTTCCACATGTCTCTGGATTTGGGTCAAACTGACAGCTGAATTAACTATGACTACCATCTTGCCAGCCCCGAGTTTATTTTATTTGTTTATTTATTAGTTTTTGAGATAGGTCTTGCTACATAGCCCAGGACATCCTTAAACTCTTAACCCTCCTGCCCCTCCACCTTCCAAGTGCTAGGGTTACACAAGGCAAACGCCACCCCCTCTACCACTGTAAGCCATGTCGCTATATTTCAGTGATCATGGGCCTCATTTTAAAATCTGGTTGCAGAGTTCTGTAGACGGAAGCTCTCACTGGGTCTCAGCTAGAAATTCCTTATGAGACATGAGGCCTCATATTCTGAGACCGCTCAGGCCTCCAGCTGCTGTAGTTGGTCTAGGATCTTACTTGCATGGGCACAGGAGGCGCTATTTTGAGCTGAGGCCTGTCTGTCCCACGGTCATCTAGAAAACAGAAAACCCAAAGATTTTTCCAGAAGGGAGAGTTCCTGTGCCTACTACCATTTAATAAGCATTAGCCATGTGTCAAATACCTTACCAACATGAGCCTATTATTGTTGCTATTGAGACAAGATTTCCTGTAGTTGGCTGACCACCAACTTGTCACTGTGTAGCCAAGGATGACCTTGAAGTTCCGATACCCCCCCACCTTTACCCAAGAATGATAGACAAGCACCCCAGAGTCAGTTTATGTGGTGCTGGGGGTGGAACCCGGGGCTTCAGGATTTGGGCAAACCTTCTACTAGCTGCTATGTCCTGGACCTGACAAGCATCAGCTGGAATGCAACGCAACAGACCTTCAAAAGACACCCTCATTTCATCCCTGAAGCTGAGAGCCAGGGCAAGCTATGAGAGGACCCTTCAAAGACCCTATAGGAGTGACATTGTGGATTTGAATCCAGGCCAACTGCATCAACCCCCTTTTTACCCTTTCTTTGCCAAATAACATAAACTGTTTATTTGAATATATTTATTCGAAAGGAAACTCCGTGTTGCCAAACAGGAAGCCAGTGGCATCATCCAAAAATAGAAGACAAACTTAAAATATAAACACCACCAAAATAAAAGTGTTAGCAAACTGAGTCCAGATGGTGTTGACTGAAGGGACAAGCCTGGGACAGTGGGAACAGTGGCAGCAGGCTGGCCTAGAGGATGCTGCCAGCTGAACTCAGGCAGAATGGAGGAAAACGGACCAAGACCTCACCCCGAGAGAAAGTTGGGTGTTGCCTCCTCCCTGTATCTTCTCCCAGGCCTCCTGCTGATGGGTGTGTCCCAAATTGGGAAGGAAAGAATGGGCGGACTGAGTCTCTAGCTTTTCCAGATCCTCTGTGGAGCTCCACCCATCTGGTCCCTTCACCTGCGGCTGGTTGGTCTTTATTTTCTCTGAACCTACATGGCTCTCTTCTGGGGTGAGGCAGAAGCTTGCCTTATCTATGCTGTACTTTTGCTCCAGATATTTCAATAATAAAATACCATGGTGTGGGGGGGGGTGGTGAAGGTGTGTTCCAGAGAGTTCTCACTCTCAACACTTTGATGACATAGGACACATGCCCACTCTTGCTGCCTTAGGTGGGCAGGGCACATTCTCCCACACCTGACTTAAGCTGGAGCCCCAGCTGGACCACGTGATTTACTTCAGCCAATGAGCAAATAACAACGCACTTGGGAAAGCTGGCAAGCCTTTGCGCAGTAGTTTCTTCCTGTCGCAATTTTGCCATTTCCATGAGTAAAATAGCATTCTGGTACCCGGCTGGCTCCAGAAAAATTAAAGCAGCTTGGAGCATAGCTACCCTGGGTAAGCTGCAGGGTTCTCCACTGAGGCCCAGAGCTGCAGGGAGGTGGGTGAGATACACACAACCATTTCTGTGCGCCACGGTAGCCTCTTGGTTATTTGTCGAGAGGCAGTTAATAATAGGATCATCTAGCTTGGAGACAGGGTATCTGAAGATGTGCAGAGCCATGGAGAATGATGCGGGAGCCCACAGAAGTAGATCTGTTCCACCTTGATCAAAGGTCAGAAAATAAAAGCCCATTCCCGCTCCTTCAAGGATACAACAGGTTTGAGCCAGAGAGTGGCTGCCTACAGGATGCTTGGTCTAAGATGTGGTCATTGCATGTCCTGACTAAACAATAGACTATTTAACTCAGGATACGGTTGCTTGATTCTTCACGTATTGAAGCAGGCAATCTCCCCAACCCCCACTTTGAATTGGGGTATATAAACATATGGAAAATAAACACGGGGGAGTTCAGTATTCACTGGATTCCCCGCCCCCCGGTTCTATTCTGCATCTCCATCTTTTTTTTTTCATATCTCTGTTCTTCTGCCTGATATTTCTTATCCTCACACCCCTACCCTGGAATATGCGAACCCATTGAGACTGGACTCCGACAGATGGCACCCGACGTCGGGCCACGACAGAATGGCAATATGAGGGGTTTGCTTAGGGTTGGGGAAAAAGATAAAGAGGCTATAGATATGATTAAAAAGTTAAAATCACTTAATCCACAACTAAGGGGACTGGAGTTTAGGTCCCAGCACCCATGTAACAAGCTGGGTATTCCTAGAAAAGCTTATAGCTACAGCTCAGAGGGTCAGAGACAGGAGGATTGCTGGGGGCTGTTGGCTTTTCTAACTCAGTAGAAGCTCCAGAGGACTAAGGGGAAAATAGTAGAGGACATCTGACACGCTCTTCTGGTCTCTATCTGTGTACCTGTACACACACACACACACACACACACACACACACACACATCGGTGTGGGAAATCCTTCTGTATATGTGTTGCTTTTATTGGTTAATGAATAAAGCTGCTTTGCCCAATGTCTTATCAGAGTAAAGCCAGGTGGGAAATACAAACAGAGATGGAGAGAGAGAGTAGGCAGAGTCATGGAAGCCACATAGCTGCCACAGGAGACAGATGTCTCTGCAGGGGCCTGGAACTTTGCCACTAGGCCACAACCTTGTGGTGATGAACAGGTTAATGGATTAGTTAGTTAGGATATAAGAGCTAGCTAGAAATATGCTTAGGCTATTGACCAAAAAGTATTGCAAATAATATAGCTTCTGTGTGATTATTTCGCTTCGGGAATGAACAAGCAACCACTGAACAC